GAAGATTAGTGGTTGCACAGGGCTGGGAGGGACTGGGGCGGAGGGTGATAGCCAAAGGGCACAGGGTTATTTTGGAGGCAAGGCAGATGTTTTAAACTGACTGTGGTAAAGGCTGCACCTATTTGTAAGTATGCTAAAACCATGGAACTGTACACTTTAGATGCGTGAATTGCATGGTATGTGAATTATCTCTCAATAATGCTATTTTTAAAACCCTACGATGGCTTCCCATCCCCCACTGGGGATGCTGTCAGCTGCCACTTAAATACTGTCACCAGGTAACAGCTCTGACTGTGGGCTGGGTGTTGTTCTCAAGCACCGTGCGTGGCCGTCTCATTTCACCCTCTCACAGCTCTCTAATGTAGGCATTACAGTTATGCCCATTTTGCAGATGGGCACATTGAAAAGAGAGGTTTGAGTGACTTGCCCAAGGCCACACAATTACCCCGTGCTTCTGTCTAGCATGGGCACTTCTTGCAATATGTTGTAGGGATCTGTTTCTCCCCACTGGACTGGAGGAACCCGGGAGTTGGCGATGGTGTCTGGTTTGCACTGTATATCCCTGCACCTGGCCCAGCGACCATCAGACCTGACTCAAGAAGCTTAAAAGGACATAGAAATGCACTGGGGGTGGGTTCAGTGGTCTCACGGTCTTGGGCCAGGTTTCCTTGGTTAAAGGAAAACCACCCAGCCTGCTCTCTGACACCCCTGCCAGGATCCTGATTCTAGCAACTGTTTTCTCCTGAGCCCTTGTGTGGTTTCCCTCCTCAAAGCCTGTCTCACCTCCTGGGGCCATTCCCTGTAACCAAGAGGTTGGCCCCGCCCAGAGCTACTGGCTGCAACTCTGGGGCCTGGCTCTGCCCCCAGCTGTCCCCAAGTGCAGCAGGCAACACTGAAAGCTTGGAAGGTCCCTGTCCTGGTCCCTGCCCGGCCCTCGCTCTTGAACCCATGCCAGGTCCCTCGGACTCAGTAATGCTACCAGTGTCCCTCAATGTCCTGGAAGGTGGTACTGGATGGGTTGGGGACTGGGGAAGGCTTCTCTGGCTGGAGACTGGGCCTTAATGAAGTGGACAGAGATGTCTGAAGAAATATGGGCTCGCTGAGAGGGCAGCCCAGAGTGACCTCAGCTCCTGGGGGCTTGGCGATAGATGACTCAGCAGTAGAGTCACTCCAGAGGGAAGCAAACAGGGTCACCCCACTGAGTGCTCAGCCCCTGACCAGTCTGGGGCCCGCAGTTTGCTCCCCCTGCTCCTAACCTCATTCTGAAAGTCGCTGCCATTCTCTCGCTTGCCAACATGTACCGACATTTCCTGTGGGATCTATGCAAGTAGCCCTACGCAAACGGCTGGGCTTGGGAGCAGACAATTGACTCAAAACCCACAGAGGTAAAGACTCGCCCACATGCCCCTCCTTGGCAAGCCTGGCAGCCATGCCCTCAGACTCTCAAATTTTTCACTCGAGGCCCAGACCTCTCCTGCCCTGAAGACAGTTGCTGAAATCAGTGCAACCTCCGAAGTCCAAAGGGCTCCAGGGGGAACTCTACCCCTGAGGAGCAGCCCACAGACTCTCCCCTCCTTGTGTGCCTCTCAGGGGAGCCAGGTCCCAGGGTCCCCAGTGCATGGCAGGGAAGCCGCTGCCACAGGCTCTTGGAAACCTGAGCTAGCTCAGGCAGATCGAATGCCCAGGTGGCCCGGGATGCCTGGCTCCCTTCCTGAGAACACGGGGCCCTGGGACCCCTTCTGGCTGATACACAGCCCCACTCAGGAATGACTGTTTAGGAAAATCCCTTCCCCCTCCAAAAAAGGCCAGACCCCCAAGTTGTCTGTCTCTGCCCTGCAGGGTTTAGTGCCAGGTGGCTCCCTAGGTCCCTCTCCCCAGCAGGCACAGGTGCAAAGTCAAGCTGTGATGCCAGGACAGAGATGCGAGAGGAGCGTGGACAGATCTCGGGTGCTGGCCTCTCTCCAAGGGGAAGGAGGAGCCAGCCGAGAAGGGGGTCTTCCGCCAAGCCCCCAGCACCCAGCTCTTTCCTCTAGACCCCCTGTCTGGGGAACATGCCCACCCACCCCTGGGCCCAGCCCCCTCCCCAGAACAAAGAGCAGCACTTACCATGATAGAGAAGATGAGGGGGATGAGGTTGAGGGGCCAGACGGGGCAGAAGCAAGTGGCGATGGCGAGGATGAGGTAATCTTTGGGAACTTCTTGGTCCTGGGCGAATGAGGTGGTGGCAGTGGAGGACGCCCGCCTCGAGCTGGCCCTGGAGGGGGACCGGGCGAGTGGGGACTCCCGGCGCCCCTCGGAGATCACCTTGAAGGGCAGGCTGTGGCCATTCTGCTCCAGATCCAGGGCCCCTGAGAGGGACTTGGACAGATTCAGGGTCTTGTCATCCTTGTCCTTTACCTTGGTGAGGAGCTTCTCCATCTCCGGCAGGTCCAGGTGGGAGGCGGAGCTCGGCTCCTGCGCTGGAGGAAACTGAGGCTGCATGAGGTTGGCCCTGTTGGCCTGGGCCTTGGGCTGGGACAAGGGGCTCCACAGAGACCTCAGCACCCCACTCCCCAGCCCAGACAGGGGCCTCCAGGTCAGGGGAAGGAGCACTGCCCAGGGGACTGAGGGCCAGCTGGGTGCTGGAGGGTCACAGTGGGCGCCTCAAAGCTGTCTGTTCAATTCTAAAGCCTGTGCTGCAACGACAGTCGAAACTGAGGCTGCATGAGGTTGGCCCTGTTGGCCTGGGCCTTGGGCTGGGACAAGGGGCTCCACAGAGACCTCAGCACCCCACTCCCCAGCCCAGACAGGGGCCTCCAGGTCAGGGGAAGGAGCACTGCCCAGGGGACTGAGGGCCAGCTGGGTGCTGGAGGGTCACAGTGGGCGCCTCAAAGCCGGCTGAGCTCAGAGGCTGGGCCCGCCTGCTGTCCCCGAGGGACTCCCAGGAATCTGGAGCCTTTAGCTCCGTTCAAGTTTGAGGCCAACTTTGTTGGCGCTGCTGACAGCGCAGATGAGCGTGGAAGCAACAGAAAGCTTGGAGGGCAGAGAGGAGAACGCTCCTCTTCCCGGCGAGGTTCAGGCTAAGTCAGGAGGGTGTGCGTGTGTGTGTGTTTGTGTGTGTGTCTGTGTGTCTGTGTGTCTGTGTGTCTGTGCGAGCGCACGCACCACATTACCTCCCTCCCTCTCTGCCCTCCTCAGAGATGCTTTTCCTTTTCAATTCCCCTCTCCCCAGAGAGCAACCCGGCAGCATTCTGCCTCTACCCAGCCCAGCCCTGCCCAGCCCAGCCCTGCCCAGCCCAGAGGGACTTGGGCCGGCCTCTGGTTTCCACTGCAGTCTCAGGATCTGCTGCTCTGGGCTGGGGCCTCTGGATGGGAAAAAGGCAGAGTGGGTCACAAAGGAGTGTGTCTTCAGCTGTCCTGGGCACTGAGCCCGCTGCTTCTCTCCTACCGGAGCAGGCTCCCACTTCCTCCTATCTGCTGGGAAAGCCTGGGCCCTGGGCCTATCAAATCCCATCGAGACCCTGACCTCCAAGCCCTAGAGGTGCCCAGGCCAAAGCCTAGTGCCTGGCTCCTGGCTCCTGGCTCCTGGCTCCGGGAGGAAAAGGAGACGTGAGCACCAGGGAGGCCCTGGAGGATCCTGCCTGGACCAGCAGGGCCCTCTGAATGGGTTTCTAAGCAGCTCGCCAAGGGTTGGGAGGTAGGAGGGGACAAGGGGGAAGTGTTGGTCCATCTCATTCCCATCAGAGCTTTTCTGCAGTGCTAAAGGGCAGGCAGGCAAAGATCTCCTGCTCAGGAGCTGCTCAGGGCAGAGGCCGGCTCTGAAGGGCCTCGGGTTCTGGCTCCCATCATCTCTGATTCTCTTTGTTCTCTTACAGTTCCTCCTTCTGTTTCTGCCTCCTTCCCCATTCTCTGCATCTCTTTCTCTCGTATTCCTGGACTCTCTCCTTATGTCGCTTTACAAGGGAGACTGGAACCTCCAAGCGTGTGTGGCTTGGAGGGAGGCCTATGAGACAAGTTTAAAATCTTGGGGTCACACATGATGTGGGGTGGGAAGTGAGAGATGGAAGGGGCCTCAGAGGTTGTGGAGTTCAAATCCGTTGATGTCACAGATCAGCAACCAAGGCCTGGAAACAGAGAGACACTTCTTTCAAACTGTATCCCAATCAGATATCAATTCCTGGCCCAGGTCCTGGGGCTAGCTAGGAGCAAAACCAGCCATCTTAGTGGGAAGAAAAGGCTTTGGGTACGCATCAAGCTGCCTTCAGAGATGCTGCTTCCAGCAAAGGCAGGGACAGACAGGCCGAGGAGGGAGTGTGACCAGGCAGGGAGAGAGGAACTGGCCAGAGGGAAGGAAGGAGAGCCATAAGAAGGGCCTGCAGGGCCGGGCCAGAGGGGGGCCTTGGGGTCTCATAGAGTACCTGGAGGTTCACAAGTTTCAGGAATGTTTGTAGCCTTGGGGAAAATTTTAGGTTTGATAAATATGACTATATTAAATTAAGATTTTTGCTCAATAAGGGAAACCCATTGTTATTTGCAAAATGCAGGCCTCAGGGAGGGTGTCTCCTCCCCATCTCAGTGCTCAGGAAGGCCCTCGCCCACTCCAGGCCAGGAGCAGGGCCAGGGGAGTGAGCTGGGCTCCCCGTCCCTGGAGTTTCCAGAAGTATGCAAGTACCTTCCTAACATGAAAACTCCTTTAGAGGTGGCGGGTTGGGTCCCTGAGACCTCCTAAGCTCTAAGTCAGTATCCAGCTGGACAGAATTCCATGTCACAACCTGGGAGCTGACGCTGTGGGGCCTACAGCTGCCCTGTGGCCTCCAGCCACATGTGGCGACTGAGCATTTGAAATGTCCTAGTCCACACTGAGATGTGCTATACGTGTAAAACACACACCGAATTTTGAAGACCTGGTACAAAAAAAGGAATGTAAAATATCTCATCAATGCTTTTTATATTGGTTACATATTAAAATGATATTTTGGATATATTGAGCTAAATAAAACGTTATTAAAATCAATTTCATCTGTTTCCTTTCACTTTTTTTAAAAAAAATGTGCCTAGTAGAAAATTTAAAAGTAAAAATGTGGCTCACATTATATTTCTATTAGGCAGCACTGGCCTAGAGGACAGAGCAAACCAGACATAAAGGGGTCTTTTTGATTTAATAAAAAGAGAAAAGAAAAAGCCGAGAAGACCCCAGATTAGTCCATGGCAGCAAGGTTGCCTGGATGGGCTGGGGTTGAGGGGACTTGGGGAACCAGGTTTGCTCAGCCAGGGTAAGCTGTTGGGTTCGCAGTGCCACCTAGTGGTCTGGTGGGAATGAGGGAATGAGCAGAGTTAGGAGTAGGGACCAGAGCGGGTGGAGGGGTTGGGGAGCTGCAGAGAAGCAGCAGCGGGTCTGGGCTCCAGGGCTGGCGAGTGCAACTCAGCCAGCTGCCCAGGGTCTCGCTCCAGTCTGCAGTTGCCCCAGGTAGGCTCCCTAAAGGTCTTACGTGGAGGTCCACAGGCTGAATTCATCATACAAAGTAGGTTTGGCCTGCAGGGTGTTGACTCAATACGTTTTAAAAAAATTTATTCCACATAAAAATTGGGGTTTCGGAATTTTCTTTTACCATGAAGATCTGGGAATCCCGGGCCAATTTCCTGCAGAACAGCAGATGGTCCAGCTGCAGCCTTTAGAAGGGCTTTGATCTCCTCCTCGGCCACCTCCATGTCACGTGGCCTGCCTGCCTTGGGGTGAGTGGTGAGCCCTGGCACCACTAGATGCATGGATGGGCCATGCCTTGGGGTGAGTGGTGAGCCTTGGCACCACTAGACGCATGGACAGGCCTCTTTCTGGTCCGCAGCTGGCTGGCCTCCCTGCTCTCTGGTGTGGACACAGGGAACTGAAATAAGTGCTTCCTCTCTCTCCCCGCTTCCCCGCTTGGCCCTGAGCTCCTGAAGGGGGCAGGTGTGCCCGGCTCCCTGGCGCAGGGCCCGGCTCACAGGCTGCTGAGCCAGAGGAAAGAGCAACAGAGCGCCGGGCTGTGTCCACGCCGACACTCACTCCGTCTCTGCCCGCACCCAACCTTCATGCACCCCAACGGTGAAGGACACCGAGAGAGGTTAGGGATGTTGCAGTGGAGGGGAAAGTGGACCTGCACACCGGGGGTCCTTTAGGGGCAGGGTAGGTCAGGGAAGAAATCTCAGAGGTGTAATAAGTTCCAGCCTAACCGAAGGGGAAGAGGAAATAAAGCCCCTTACATCTGTGCCCTGCAACCCTCTCCCCACTGACCTCTCACTGGGTGTCAGGAAACCCCATGGGGCTGACAGGGCAGGTGCAATGCAGCAAATTTCTCTTCTCACTGAAGCTTTCCTGGGCCCGGATCTCCTGGCAGCTGTGGACACGCACACACATGTACTTGTGCAAGGTGTGAGGGAAACCTGCTGGGATCGTGCTCCCATCAACTCGCCCCCGGAACTTCACATCCATTGAGATACGTCCCTTCCAAGGAACCCCCTGGGGATACTTCATCCTTGCTGTCCTCGGTCAAAACATGTCCCTACTCCTCTTTGTAGTTGTCCTAAGACAAATCTTTCTCTTTTTAAAAACAATTATGAAGCAAGTGAAAATTAACTGTGTTTATCCCTCTAAATTCTCCCTAGGCCTGTCCGTGCGCCGACACGTTTGTCTGCGTTATAACCAGTGGGCAGGACCGTTCTGTGACCTGCTCCTTCAGCTCACCACTGTGCTCATCCTGTTAGGAGAGCAGAGTCGGCCTCGCCGCGCCTCTACGATCGGGCGTGTGCGTTGTTCCAAATCCTTCACTAGTATGTACGCGGTCGCTGTGACTATCTTTTTGCAAATTTGTTTTTCCTTTTGGATTACTCCCTTGGAGTATTTTTATTATGATTTTGCTAAATTGTTCTCTACCAAAAAAAGAACAGATACACAGTACAAGTAGAAATATGTAAAATGTGCCCTCTTCTTCACGTCCCTGACCACATTGGGTTTTATCATTGCTATTTGGTTTTGCTGGTATGTCTCATTCATTGCTAGAGGGGCAGGGTGCCGTTCCCTGTGATGGAGGCAGCTGCTGTAAGGGAAGGGGATTGAAGACAGACCCCTAAGAAGCCAAGAGACTGAGGATGGGAGAGCCCTTTGTGAGCTGCTAAATGTGCGGCGATTGTTATTATTCTCTGTCCTTTAAAAGTTAACTCTCTTTGAACACTATTTGAGTGGGCTGTTGCTATTAAGACTGTAGATACATAATTTCTTTATTAGTGTGTATCAGTTCTTCATATCGTCTGGACATAGCTTAGTGGCTCTGTCTTATGTGTGTTTCCCTTTGTGGCATTTTCCTTTTTATGTGCATTTAACTGCATATCATTATGCTTTTTTTTCTATATTTGGACAAACCTATCTGGCCTCACTTGATAACCTCCATTTCTTTAATAATCACAAATTTATCTTTTCTTCACAGCAAATCAGTCATCTTGGAGAATGGATACAATCTTGGGAAGCA